ATACTGCCCTTGTCTGTGTACCTCACACCGGGGTGCAGGGCGCTGTGTTTGGGGAAGGGCCTCAGGTAAACTGGAAGTCTTGACTTTCACACCCATGAGAAGTAAACACCAGCATCTCCTCTTCTACTGCTGACCACCTAGTACCTTGAGAGTGGTTGTTTCCCCACTGTTGGATCCTGTATGCTGTGATAACCGGCAGCCTGTAGTGTTTGGGGAACTCAGTGCATGAATTTGTACAGAGGTTCAGACACAGTCACTAGGTTAGTTCAAAAGCCTAGGAACTAAGCAACACTAAGAAAGATATCGCAGATTTCCTTGAGTTCATCCGGGTTACAGAAGGTCTCTTTACATCTTAGGTCACAAATGTCAAAGAGGGAAGTGACCACTTCCAAGCATCCCTCCTTTGCGGAGGAAATCAATGCTCTGTGAAGACAAGGAATGAGATTTAATCCTCTACTGCTCTTCTTGGCTTTCTTCTCACACAGAAGGCTCCTCCCACCCTTCTCAACCCACTCAGCCTGCTCCTTTAGCCACAGGCAATTTTGCTGCTGTGGTAGCTGCCAACTTGGCTGGTGGGAAGCCAGGCCTGGAGGGAATAGAGGGTCCTGGCAACAGCATGGTCTGAGGGCCCTACAGGTCAGCGCCTAACTCCTTCCTTGTTGCTTTCTGCCTTCAGCTGTTTTCACAAGAATATGGGAGACTGCATGGCTTAGAAAACATGTAAGCATACTACACAGTCCCAGAGTCTGCCAAGTCTAAGTTCAAGGTACCCTTATGGCTAGGCTCTGATTAGGGTTCTCATTTTCTTACTTGGTGCCAGGGTGGGGATGGAACCAGGTCTTTTCTGTCCTTTTTTTTTGGTCAGGATTTATCTAAACTTCTTTAAAAAAAAAAAAAAAAGAATATAGTTTATTCACTTTGTATCCCTGCTTGTAGCCCCCTACCTCATCCCCTCCCAAACTCACCCCTTATCTCTCCCCATGCCCCTCCCCAAGTGCACTGATAGGGGAGGTCCTCCTCCCCTTCCTTCTGACCCCAGCCTGTTAGGTCTCATCAGAACTGGCTGCATTGTAAAGAACCCCAATTGATGAGGAATCTGTCCCCAGGGCTCACTTATTCCTCAGAGTTCTGTCTCCAAATACCATTACACTGGAGTTTAGGGTTTCAATGTGAACTTTGGGTAGGCTTACCCAATCAGTCCATAGCACCCTTCTTAAAATATTGTATGGCATCCCGATAACCTGGTTAGCTAAACATGCATACTGTGTATTGTTATGTGAATATAACCTTTCTGAGTATAGAAAGGAGGCAAGAATGGTAGGAGACACAGAGCTTTTTTTGTTTGTTTGTTTTTATTTTGTGTTTTTTTAAGACAGGGTTTCACTGTGTAGCCTTGGCTGTCCTGGACTAGCTTTATAGACCAGGCTGGGTTAGAACTTCCTGCCTCTGCCTCCCTGAGTGCTGGGATTACAGCCACCACACCAGGCACAGAGTTTTTTAAACCCAGGGTTAAGACAACTTTTGTAGAAAAAAAAATCTGTTTGTTCACATCAAAGAGAGGTCTTGCTTTCCAATTTTACGAGTAACAGACCCTCAAACATACAAACTCCACCAAGCAATTGCAACTCTGGGAGCCAAGATTTGGCTCAAATGAAGCTTTGGAGCAGAGGTCTATGCAAGATCCTGGCACAGGAGTCTGCTTCCAGGTGGGAGGGCATCTAGGATGGCTTGTACTGTGTTGGGTGGTGCATCCCGAGCCACTGTCTGCATCTTTGCCCTTCCTGGTCCCAGCATGATACACTGTCGGAGGATGCGTCAACAAGGCTGGGCCTTGGCTTACAACCAGTGGAAGGTCATAAGCAGTGAACCTGTTCCTTGGGTAAAGAGAAGCCTTCACTCTAACTTCTGTCTTCTTAGACTTCTGAGGTCTAAGCTGAGGGTATTGTGTCTTCCTTACAGATGATTCCTTGTGTTACAAACTGGGTTGATGATATGGCCTGGAAGTGTCCAGATGCTGTGGTCAAGGAAAAGGGAGTCTGGGGTCGTAGGGCTTCCGAATGTGAGGTTTAGATAAGGTGAGCCTAAAGAAACAGGACAGTAGAAAGTCGACATGATGGGATGGAACCAAACAGACCTCACACCCCTAGTCCCGAGCCTAGGTGATTGGTGGAATCAATTAACTCAGTGAGCTTTTCCTTGCTCCGTTAGGTGGCACTGAGTATATACGTACCGCTTTCCTAGAACTAATAGCTGCACAAAGCAGACAGCTGGGAGCAAGCTTTTTCTCCAGGCCCAGCTCCTTACTTCCTAGAGAGTGGGAAGCGAAGAACAGCACTGTGGTGCTGGCTATGGGCACAGGCTTTCGGGAACTGTGCCCAGGTTTCAGTGGCTCATGAACAGCCAAGACTTAGGACTCTCCCCAGCAGAAGACTTAGGGTGATTGTCTTTGAGAAAGCCACTGGAGAAAAGTAGTATAGGACTTTGGAAGCAGCCAAGACAATGACATGAGAGATTTTTGCCTCCAATGGTGAATTTGCTGTGAGCACAGGTTTGGCTGAGACCAGCTAGTCATGTGTGAGAAAGGATGTGAGCTGAGTGCTGCAGGCACTCACAGCACTGGTGTGTGGAATATTAGCTGAGCCGCAAGAGGGAGAGAGAATGCTTTGGTCACTCAGCTCACTGGCAGGTTACAGACCTGCTGCTATTTTCTCAGTTCCTCTGGCTCAGTTTTTGCAGCCCCCTCTCCTTTTAAATGAGCTCAGCACCAGCTTAACAGTCCATTATAAATATTAAACTAATGCCACTCTATTTGTTTACATGCACCAATAAGGATGTGGCTTTAAACACACATGTACATGTTTTGTTTTGTTTTGTTTTTTCTTTCTTCTGAGAATAGGGTTAAAGTTAGCTTGCTTTGCCAATTTAATAGCTTCCCCCAGGAACTGGGGATCATCTCTTTTATAGTGAGCCCCACCCAAACTCTTGGACATCAGAAAGAGTTCATCATACCATGTCCCAAGCTGAAGTGGACTAAAGCCTGAGCAGGTGTCTTAGACTTTCTAGGTCACCCTTAGCTAAGGATTTCATCTTCAGCTTGGCTCTTACCAGGGTCAAGGGTGCCACACACATTCCTGTCTCAGTTCAGACAAAGCTCAAAGAGTAAAAAGTCAAGAGGCCAAGTTTCAGTTCTAGAAAACTCCCAGAGTCCTCTCCTTTACCCCCAGCCCACAGCAAAAGCAGTGATCAGACACCTGAGGGAGAAGTTACCCAGCTGTTCTTTCCATAAACTCCTCAGGATGGGGAGGGTGGCGAACAGGTAATAGAATTTGCTTTGAAAAAAAAAAATGTCAGTTTAGTCACAGGCCATAGATTGTGTGACACACAGGGGTCAAGCAAGAGAACAAGAGAATTCAGCAGAGAGTGCTGTGGAGGAGCGCTGGGCTTTCCTTGTGTCATAGGACTTTGTGTTGGATGTTTCCTTTCTTCCCTTTGGTGGCTTCCCTGTGCTGTTCCAGTGACTGACTGGTTGTCTTTTTTGTAAAACTGCCTTGCTCTTCAGTACTCTGTCCATGGAAGATTTGCAAGTCTGAAAACAAATCTATCTGTTTCATGCATCTTCATTGTTAAGATAGGACATCTTAGGCAGATGCTCAAAGTCTTTTCTTTTATCATCAAGCATGATTGCTATGAATTGACCTTATTGGCCGGTACCATTGACTTTTCATCTAGATGATCAATGAGTAATGTACTATAGCATAATTTAAAGTTTCACATATGTTTTCAGACAGAACTATTCCAAGAATGCAAGTCAGGTATATTGCTCAGATAAATAACAGTCGTAACATTATGTACAGGGAAATTCTCCCTTCTCAGGTTTCTCCGAGGTTGAGATTCAGGAGCCTGTCATTAATCATTTCATTGGGCTCGGTCCTCCAGCCAGTGGAAGTTGAAGAGAGAGGTTGGCTAATTCCTCCAGACAAGAGAATCGTGGGGCCAGAGAGAACAACTGGGCAATGAGTCACATGTCCTGATATTCAGACTCACTTCATCCTTGCCTGGAGTTCGAATGTTCTGTGTGTGTGTGTGTGTGTGTGTGTGTGTGTGTGTGTGTGTGTGTATGTGTGTGTGTTTTCCGAGGGAATTCACCTGTTCCAACACTGACACGGGGCTTTCCTAAAGGAAAAGCCAGGACACACTGCATCAGACAGTTTCTTACAGGGAAGCAGCTGAGTCCTGGAATGGTGGCTTTCTAAAGGAGAAGTAAACGCGCACCTTGCTCTTTAATAAATCAATGACAGCCAGAAACCTGTCTCCTCTCCCACCTGGGCCACCCCAAAGCCTTCCCAAATAGTGCTGCCAATCAGTTTTTGGTTCCCTTCTGAAAGTGGTTCCCAGGCTCCAGGCGGTAGGAGCCAGCAACCTGGAAACAGGATGCTAGGTAAAGAGTGAATTGCCTGGGGCACATGTGACGGCAGAGACGGGAACCTATGCCCATGTGTCCCTCCGTCCGTGCCCCTTGCGCGCGCGAGGAACCGAATCCCGAGCCACTGGCTAGGGCAGGGGTAACTGTGTGGCTCCTGAGAACCGCTGGGGGTGCGTGGCCGATGTTTGGGCGCCTCCAGCGTCCCGGGGGGCAGCTTCTGAAGGCAAGACACCTCCTCCCACTCCCGGGATGGCTTCTCCCTCCTCCTTCACACCCCCGCCTCCGGGACCGCGGCGCTCCCTCCCCGCACCGGCCAGTGAGTACACAAAGCAGCGGGTGAGGGGAAGCTTCGCAGGCGTGCACGGAGCAGTGAGATCACTGACGTTATAAATATCCCGGTGCCAGCGCCGAGATCCGCTCGGGTGGCCTCTCTCTCCCCCTCTCCCTCTCCCTTCCCCGAGGCTATGTCCACCCAGTGCGGCGAGGGAGGCAGCGCCAGAGGCTCGCAGCCGTGCGGGGGCTACGGAGCCCGGAGCCAGCCCTGCAAGATGCGCTTAGGACCCCCGCGGCCGGAAGAATGAGCTTGTCCTTGCTCTTCCTCCTCTTCTGCAGCCACCTGATCCTCAGCGCTTGGGCTCACGGGGAGAAGCGTCTCACACCCGAAGGGCAACCGGCGGCTCCCAGGAACCCGGGCGACTCCAGCGGCAGCCGGGGCAGAAGTAGCGCGACGTCTTCTGCCTCCTCCCCAGCCGCGGCTTCCCCGGGCAGTCAAGGAAGCGGCCCGGAGCACAGCAGTTTCCAGTGGAGCCCTTCGGGGCGCCGGACCGGCAGCCTGTACTGCAGAGTGGGCATCGGTTTCCATCTGCAGATCTACCCGGATGGCAAAGTCAACGGCTCCCACGAAGCCAGTGTCTTAAGTAAGTTGCTCACTCCCCAGCAAAACCTGTTCTGGGAGGGACTGTCAGTATCCCTTTGGGCCACGGGGCACCTCCAGGAGCCCCAGAGTCTGGGACGAGGCTGATTCTGGAAATGGTCCGGCTGGTTTGGTGGAGAGGCGTCTACACGGCGATTGCACACGCACCCCTCTCTTGGGTTGCAGGCATGGCTAACCCCAGGTGGAGGTTACCGTGATGAGATAAACAGCCCTGGCCGAAAAGACCAGCCTCCCACCATAGCTTGGAGGGAAGAAAAATAATAATAATTAATAATAATGAAAGAATTAACAGTCTTTCTCCCTGTGCGATTTCTTTCTACTTATCAACTAGAACCGCATTTTTCTGTAAGTGTCAAAGGAATCTCTTTTCCCGGTAAACAATTCAGATTAGTTTATGGGGGGGGGGTCAGATCTGAGTACTTCCTTTCTCAACTACATCCATGTTCCCCACATCGTATGTTTATATTAATATGTGTGCGTAACTTTGCACGCACAGGCATATTTCACACACCTATACATACACACGTACATACACACACTCATGCCAACTGCACAAGTCTCCGGAGAATTGATATCCACATCCGTCCTGGGAGAGCAGAGCCCTGCTTGCAAGAAGGCAGCATGGTCTGGAAGGCTGGAGACTCCAGTGCTGGCTTTACAGCGTTTAGTAAGCTGAGACCTGGACGTTGGCCTCTGGGATCCAGGGAGAGTCAGGGGAAAGAAAAGTTCTTAATTATAGAGGAGCCCCAGGGGAGGTTGAAATGGTTGTAAACTGGGCATAACTTGACATTTTTTCTGCGTCCTCTCCTTTTCCGTTCTCCTTTCCTCTTTGCTTGCACTCCACCCGCGCTCCTTCCACTCCATCTGCCTTTTTTTGGACCCTCGGAGTAGCCACGCGCACTCCCCTCGCTGCTCCTTAGGCGGCTGAGGTGAGCCGCTCATTTGGAGCTGTGTGCTCGGGACTGGGGTCGTCTCTGGGGTCCAGCGAGGCGTTTTCTCACTGGATTCTGATCGCTTTTCCAGCAGGGCTTAGTCCTCCAGGTGAAAGCCACAGCAGGGACCGCTCAGACTCCCAGGGAGAGCGGAAATGGGGCCGGGAGATGGTGCTGTGCGGTCACCTGGCCCCTCTGGTCTTCCTGAGGGCTCCCAGGTGCTCCAAACCCGGCCAGTGACTAGCACGCCTCTGTTTACTCAGCCCCGAGAACCGAGGGCTGTGTTTGTTGGGCTGACAGTCGGCTGGGGCCTGTGGAGAGGGTTTGGAAATCCAAGCACAGGTGGGATGGCGGATGACCAGCCTCTTTTAATGAGTTAAGAGGATCAGGCTGAGATCCTGGCGGTAGCGTCCCGACAGGTGCTGTTCCTAGCCAGCTGGCTGAGGGCTTTGTCTTTGGAGAGCACCCCTTCAGCCGGCTGAGGTGCAGGTGGAGAGGCAGTGCAAAACAGGAAGGGCCCTAGGCTCCCATCCCATCTAGTTTCAGCGGTTCGTGGATGCTCCACGTTGGTCACCCCTGTCTTTACGTTTGAAAGAACTCCGGTCTTCCTGGATGAACGGAATAGTCTGTTCTGGGAAGGGTGAATTTTCTGATGCTTCTTAGAGATGCTGCTTCTGTTTCAGTATTTCCACTCACCCTCCTCATTTTGCAGGATTCAGTTCTGCCACGAGATACCTCTTAGTCTCCACTTTCAGCAATCTTACTGGCTCTTGGAGAAAACCTTTTCTCTAGCTTGTTGCTGTGAATATATCCAGGAAATCGGCACCAACTCCACACAAGCTTTGCTTGCTAAGGAGAGAGCCAGATAGCAGGTAGCAGGCAGTAAGGTTGGAGTCTCCTGCGCCTGGGGTAGCTTTGAAGTGTTAGGGAGCTCTGAAAGCAGGTGAGTTCCATCTTCATCACAAAAGCACACTGAAGCTAAATGTGGTTGCAGTTTAGGCCTTGGTAGACCGGGTACATACAGAAACACAAATAAAGGAAAGTGAGAACAGATCAACAGACTTAATTTATCTAAAGAAGCTGGCTAGCTGTCCATTATTTCCAAGGGCTAATTTATTTTAAAATCCTCATTGAGAGGTGGCTACAAAACAACGAAGATGTACCCTAAGTAACTAATTAAACTTTTTAAGTAGCTTTTTTTTTTTTTTCTAATACCCAACCCCACAATTTTAAACAGCCATTCAGAGTTTAATTTGTATCTTTCAAAAGACTGGCTTTCATTCACTCACCCATTGAGTGATTCATTCATTCACCCATTCATTCCTTCATGCACCCAAAGTAGGGCACCTGCCTTAGAAAGCATGATGCTTTGGTCACTTTTGTGTTACTTTTTCTTTTCTTTTTCATTTTCTCTGGCTTTGCCTTCCACAGTATTTTTGTTTGTTTGTTTTGTTTTGTGTTTTGTTTTTCTCAAAGAAAAGCATTATTTAACTCTCACGGTCATAGCGGTTGCCTTTGATACCTGGAGTTCCCAACACCCCTCTATGAAATGTTTTTACGTGCAGTGGAAAGGCACGGAATTTGGGAATGTAACATGGCTCTTTACACTTACATAGCCATGACAGAAAAGCAGCCTCTGCTTGCAGTTGATTATAGATCCCTGAAATTTATGTAAGCTGAGGTATTAACCTTGGACTATTGCTTAGAATATATGAAGAAACTTTTTTGCGTTTGACAAGAGAGGCCAGGAGAGCACTGGAAAACAAAACAAAACAAAAAAACTTCAGTGTAAAGTTTTTTTTAAAGATGCCACAATAAGACTTTTTTGTGTTTTAGGTAAAATGTCACATTCACTCAATATTACATGTATTTGCCAATTGTGAAAATTTGTTTGGTTTTACTATCAAAATCATGCTTTAGCCACAGATATTGAAGCATTCTTTTAGGTACATCAATTAGCAAGGTCCTGTTTTGCCTCATTCAGTAGTGGCACCATGTTTTAGAGACAGAATTATGGTATCTGGCTTATTGGGTATGAACCCTTGTAGGAAGGAAATACTGGGGAAAGATGAAGAGTAGAGAAGATGAGGGATTATGAGCTCCAACCGTGAAGAGAAAGGAACAGCTGCTTGTTCAGTGTTGAAAAGCTGTCAGGTTCAGTGTCAATACAATGCTCTGGCTGACTAACCTTGGGCCATTAAAACTATAAAATCACATAGGTAGCAGTTCAGAGCAGGAAACTATCAGTGATGGCTATACAAAGCAATCACACAAAATCCAAATTTTTTTTCATTCACATTTTGACTAAGAGAGCTTCAGTTTTAGACTTTGTTTTGAAAGTCTGACTTGATTATCCATTTTGGTATCATAAAGTCATCAGACATTTTCTGGGGCTGGCTAAATCGGAACTCACTGTGCAGAGAAATTCAAGGGGAAATTTTGTTACTAATTTAATCAGCAAAGACTGTGCTAAATTGGATCATTCAAGACTAAGACTTGATAACTTGGCAGAGCGGATCTGTTGCCATGGATGAATGTAGAGAAACTTCAGTGTCGCCATATTTTTTCTTTGGGAATTTTCAAATATGTTATCGAAAGCTTCTGAACACAAGTGGTATCTATGTTGTTCTAGCCTTTATTCTCCTAGTCTGTCATAACTGTATCCCCCACTGATAGCCAAGGGAGAAAGGAAGCTATGTATGTGTTTTCTTACTGAAATAAATTTATTCAAAAAGTGTAATTATACTGTGAAGTAAGAAGATTAACGACCAACGGTAGAGACACCAAGAATTTTTGTCTCCTTTAACCTTGATATAAATCCTGACATTTTTGTTAAGAAAGACTTCTTCACCCTCTTATCTGTCTCTCTTTCCTCTTAATTATGAACATCTTGGGAAAGGTAACGCACCATCTTTAGTACGTGGATATCAATCAATTTATCCTGAGGTCACTAAATCCATCCCCAAGCAGGAGAGAGACACAATAGTAAGAACAACTCAAGAACACATGTCCCTATTGAGGAGGAAAGAAGGCAGGGTATCCTCATGACAGTGCATTGTCTCAGTGAAGGGCCCCTACACGGGTCTACCTGGGGTGTCTCCGAAACAGTACAGCATCGCAGGTCACTGCCTGGCTTGTGAGACAATTGCCATTCACAATTTTGCTTATGGACACTGTCCTGACATCGACAGGGTAAACAAGAAATTTCCTTCAAGATTATTATCACCAACTGGTACAAATAATACTGAATTTTTAAAAGTCAGCTTTAGAGAAATGTTTCTTGGGGTGCATTAACTCATGACTTAGTATACATGGGTTTAAAGTATTTCCTAGAAGTTTTTAATGAGCTGCTGAGATCTGCATTGTAAAGTAGACCTGTGCTATCTTGGAAAGAGAAACAGAAAGCCTATTGTGAGTCGTAGAATTGTGCTGGTATTCTAAAAAAACAAGACACTGAAATCATTATTGTCATCAGCTTAGAAATTATGATTTTTAACAATGATTCCAAAATTAGGTAAAAATAACACTAAGATTAAAAGATAAATTTCAAAGTTGCCTGTGTGAAAAACTATTCTTATATACATACATAACACACATACTCACATACATACATACATGCACATGGCTGCACACATACATTCATACGTACATATATTAAACTTTCAGGTACACAAAAATCTCAGAATTATATAATCTTTCCATGACCTGGCAATACATTATTTTTATAATAGAATTTATCAGACAAATCGTGCAATGCATAATAAAATAACACTTTTACGGGCATCACATCATCATCTGCCCATATTTGAAATTAATTGCAATCAAATGTATATAATCACCACAAATAGAATAAAATATGCAGTATATTGAGATACAAGTTAAGTGAGACCAAATGAAGGTCATATGGTCAGAAAGCAGTTGTTTAGTTAAACAAAAACATAGTTGTTGTTTTTTTAAACCAAGTAAATATTTATAAAACCATCTAATTTTAACCTCTCAAAAGTCACAGTGAAACATGAGAATTTGATCTCATCCAATTTACATTTATAGAGCTGAGTACATCCATAAAGTGAACAGAAAATTTTCTTCAACTGTCAAGGATTCCTAATAATTAGAGTACGGAAAATATTGAATTTAAAGAAAAATCATTAGAAAAAATATTTTTTGGAGTGTATAAATGTGTGAGACTGAAGCCCTTAGCAACGTGGAGCTCTGAGTACCTAGGAGAAAAGGAATCGCGATCTCATCTCTCCGGCCTCATTGTCCCGTTATGTCACTCCTTCCACAAAAGGCAGCACCTATGAGGGTCTCTTTCTGCTTCTGAGCACATGCTTTTGTAGGTTTGCAGCTTCACCCATGATCAGCTAACTCTTTGAACTCATTACTGATGCTTTCAGCATTATTCTTTAATTCTATTCAAACATAGTTTTTTTAACCAGATCTACTAGTCATAATTTAATAATAATACTATTATTTTAATAATAATACCATTATTGTACTATGTCTCTATAATTTAGTTTAGTAAAGTTAAATATCTACATGCAAAGTAAATTTTAAATTTTAAAAAGTCAAATTTAAATATGTATACATATTATGCTCTGTATAAACCTATGGATGTGACTTTACAAAGTATTCTGCGTGCTTTGCTAGCATCTGGTAAAACGGCAGTGCTTCTAAATCTTTGGATGTGTATCGCAAGCAAGCTTTTATATTAAATTCTGCATAAATTAAATTTTAGAAACATTTTAAAAGCAGTGATGTTCAGGGCACTAGTGTCTGTTGCACTCTCTTACGCACACAAAAACAGCTCCTTGTTAAGTGTTTTGTTTGTTGTTGTTTTTTTGTTTTGTTTTTTGTTTTTCCTTTTCTCATGAAAAGACAGCATTAAATTGGTGCCTGCAATTTTTCTGAGATGGTTTTCTTTCTCTTGGTTAAGATTGTTCAAAACAATAATAACAAAAAATAGCTCTCTGGATATTCCCTTTTCTCTGAAATTTCTAAGTATTTAAACAAACCAAGTACACAGTAATATTTGTGACAAGGACAGGTGCTCAGCTTATGTTGTACACCACAAGTCCTCAATAAATTTTTAAATCTATTCTTACTTGTCGTCCTTGTCAGTAAACTGAATAACTTTGCACATACATTAAGTACTGCAGGGGTAGATGGCTATTTCAAGGAAAACTGAGGAAGATGTCACCTTGGCAGAGTTCTCCTGAGACACCCTGCTTAGTCGTGAATGCTTGAGACAGCTGTGTCCAGGTGCCCAGTGTGCTTTTTCCTTCTCCATGCTTTCTTTGTTTTTCTCTCAGTTCTAGTGAACTGTATTACTTGTTTCTATATTTTTAGTAATTTCATATGTATAACTAATAATATTGTCTTTACTCATATTTGTATAAAGTCGTTTGTGACTTTATTAGTAATCCGCAGGCTTTCTGACTATGCACAGAATACACACTTGATTTTATGAAAACTCTCCATGAACCGCAGTGGACAGTTTGACTCAGCACACATGATTTCTGAAATGATGGTAGTGGATGAAGGCACACTGGCTTGACTTACAGACTGGGTTACACATTCACAACAATATACAGATTGCCACGTTGTCCTAGGAAGTGACTTAAAATGCAATATTTCTCAAAGCGTAATTCGTCAAACAATTCATGGGAGCAAATGTGATTTATAATGTTTTCAGTATCTTAGGCGTGGCTTTATGGTTTTAAAAGATTGAATATGGTATGTATTTATTTAAGTTCTCAAATCATAATAAATAACAGAGAGGGGTTTATTTTATGTAAGAAAGTATCATTTTCCAGGCTTTTTAATTTTTCATACTAATGATGGAATAGTAACAAATTAGAATTATTTCAGAAATATTTAAAAAGCATCATTCAAAACCTTTTAGCCATTCTTTAGCACAGTGAATGTCACAAAAGATGATTACATGTTTTGTTTAATCTCAGAAGTAAAGACTGAGAACAGCTGATGTAGACATTGAATTCTTCACAGTTCTGTGTAGAAGAGTCTGTGTTTTATTTTGGGATTTTTGTCATCCTAGGTATTTTGGAAATATTTGCTGTGTCTCAGGGGATTGTAGGAATACGAGGAGTTTTCAGCAACAAATTTTTAGCGATGTCAAAAAAAGGAAAACTCCATGCAAGTGTAAGTAGAACCACTTCGTATTTGTTAAAGGTGCTCTTGAGGTAACATTTGTAACAAAATAAAGTATTTTTTTTTCTCAAAATTAGTAAGCTAAGGTAGACAATTTGCTTAAAGAACTTGATTTTTTTGTTAAAATTATATGTAGTATGTATGTACAACCAATTGTGTATGTGTCTGCAAGTAACTGTTTGAACATATCACTGTCTTGAAAATAAATAGAACCTTCAAGACTATGAAGGGTAAATGTACTTTAAAGAATCTTTAGCGCAGTGGTTGCCATTGTTAATTTTCTAGAGGGGCTGGGGTCAGACTTGTAACAGCAATGAGCTATTTGTTGCACCAAGTAAACTTTGCATGTTTATTTGGTGGTATGTGTGTTTAATAGATACAGGAGTTCTTATTTTATTTTACAGGTTATTTATGTTATCAACTTTGGGTCTAAGTAATATACATTTTCACGTAAGCTAGTATGAGACAGAATGAAAGAACACGTAGCTTCTCATCTCCCCGAAAGAAATTGCTCTTGATGAGCTAGGGGACTTATGTTTTTGTCAGATCAGATATAATTACTTAACACTAATCTTAACATTCAAAAGATTTCTTCAGAGTGCTTACACACTTTGTAAATTAGTTTAAAAATTATTTGTTTCTTAGCTTTTACTACATCCAGATTCTGGTTATTTGTGTTCATGTGTTTACACCACACTTACAAGTAATTTAGGGTTTTTTGTGATATATTAGATTTTTCACATTAATAATTAAAAAAATTATTCTTTAAAGTTAGTCCTTTAGTTAATAACAAATAAATAGCTATTTTTTGTAATTTTTAAAGCATATAGAAAGTCTAACTTAGTGAAATCAATGGACACTGACTTCTTAATTCTCTGCTTTAATAATCCAGTCAGAATTCCACTCATTTATACCCATAAAACTTCTACAATTCCCTTTCCTTTTCACCTAAAGTAATTAATAACTTTTGAAGAACACTGCAGCTATTTGGGATTTAGTGAAATAGCGCATATGAAGCACTTAGAACAGCATTTGGTACCTTGTAAATGTTCAATAAACCATGTTTATTGTTATATGCAGTAAACTAAACTTAATATAAACTATGTACAAAACCACTCCAGTCAAAGGTTAATGAAAAGCCTTCCTTAAACTCTTCAGTCAATAATTTCAAGAATTACAAAAGTAATTTCTTACATTTCTGGGTTGTTTGTACTCTAGCAAGGAATAACAGTTGTTGTTGTTGTGTGTGTGTGTGTGTGTTTTAAATGATTACTATAATTGAACAACTAGAAGTAACATTTGACTTATTTAAAGGGAAAAAAATTCTTTATCAGTGTGGGGAAAAGTCAGACGTCTCATTTTGTTAAGAATAATGTTTGATCACTAAAAATTCACGTCCACGCTGGAAAAGAACAGTTTTTTATTGTTCTACTTTAAGGATGTAAAACCTTCAAAATCTCAGCGTCATAAGGTACAAGACAAGTGCAGAGATCACTTCTTACAAGTTTGTGAGAGGAGAAATCTTAACATTGAGAATATTTTCATCTGTGCACTAGTGCATACAAAAATAGATGAAACTTGGGCAGCTAGAGGATAATTGCCACAGAAAGCAAAGTATTATAAATGGGTGCCAATTAGAAGGGTCAAACCAAGAGGTTAGGATACATGATTCCTCTGTCAAATGCAAGTAACTAATTTCTAGAAATTTGACCCAAATGTCTAAGGATGACTGGTGGAAATAGTGCAGATAACTCAAAAACAGCATCTGTTATTCTTTCTCATCTTGGCAGGCTAAAGTTATTTCATGGAATAATGACTTTTAAACAGTGCAAAGCGAGCCTTGCTCTTGTCACTCACTGGTGCTCTTTGATACAAAAGTCATTCTGATGACTTTGGGCTGAACTGTAGATAAAAAATTAAGCCCCACGATTATGTCCAAACCTACACTTTCTTGTTTGAGCTTTTATTAGCACTTTTTCCCCTCTAGATGGAAACCTAATTAAATTATGAAGTGATTTATTTTTAAAGAAGTAGAGTTTAGAAATAACATTAATCATAGCAATTATCGGCTTTAGCGCAGCTGGTTTCTTTACTGTTTTCACCATAGCTGAATATGTTAAAAACATTCTTATAACTTTCATCATGTTTACTTGACTTGGTTTTGGTATTTACAAAGTCATAGTATCATCCAACCAATTAATGCAGACCTAGTAACATTTAGTTTGTGAGTTGCTTTATATTCATAAACTTTCTGTGGCATTGAAGACTACCTTTCAGCTTCTTCGTCCAAAATGAAAGTGAACCAGAGGTGTTACGTGTCCAGGTAACTCTGAGGAAAGTACAACTAGAACGAATTGTCCATTTCAATTCAGTTCTGCCAACAGAGCTGAAGTTAGTCACCAGGCTGATGTACTTTAACAGTTCTGCAAACACTTTCCACTCATGTTATCTCATCAGACACTAAGGCAAGGAAATAGCCTGAGATGTTTAGAAATATCCCTAAGGTTACACAGTTATGTGATTGAAGGGAAACTGTATCCTATTCAAACTTCTTCTTTAAATATCCAAATGCTTTGTAGGTGCAAGTTAGTTTAAAAGAAAGCATTGTGTTTAGGAACAAAGTATATTGTTTTTATGTGCTTATAGGAATTAAGTGCCTGATTTAGTAATACCCTCACCCTATATGATACATAAGAAAGGAACACTGGGGAAGATCATTAAGAGTGTTTATAGCACACTCTTAGCAAGCAAAGGAGAAGGAAATTCTAGACTAGATGTGTAAAGTTGTAAATTAATTTCCACTTTTCATCCTTCCCTTGGATTCAGAACATAATCATTTTGGTCCTATCCTTCCCCTAAGTGTCTGCCACAGAGCTTTACAGGGATGCATATGTTGTTGTTCGGTGTGACATTGTGCTGTTTAGGGAAGTCCTCTCTATTTGAACTTTCACACAGAAAAGAACTGCTTGCCCCCCCCCCAAAAAAAAATTAATGCACGGAATGCTACCTCTTTTGTGTACACAAAGATGGCACACCAAAGCTGCAGCCCTGAGCAATGAATGAGGCAATGCTGGTGCTGACCTCATTGTCCTGTTTCTTAATTTCACAATAGAAGTTTTACTTGAATGTCAAGTGGACAGGTGGTGCTACAAGCTCTCACCCTGTCCTCTTATCTCTGTGCGCCTCTGCTCAAAACCATTCCCAGATTCCCAATGCTAAGGACAGGCAAGTTCTTACTGTGTGGGCTTCTCAGCACTTTCTTTCTTTTTGGACAAGACATTTTTAATTGAAAATATCTTTATGCAATATATTCTGGTTATGTGTTTTCCCTCCCTCAATTCCTCTCAGGTTCTCCCCAGTTTCCCACTTTCCCAAATCCATACTCTTTCCCTGTGATGAGAGACAGAAAGAACGTGATGGGCCAAAAGTGTATGGTGCCCTTGTCAGAATGTGTCAGGGGCTATGGAGAACAGGAGGCAATAATCGCTTCCTAGAGAGACAAAATCGCCATTGTGGCTCCTATTCTCTGTCTCAACATACTCTGGATGGAGGCATTTTCTCAGATCATGTGGCCTTCTCTAACGTCTGTTCATGGCCTTTCTTCAGGTTATGGGTCCTTCCTGAAAGCCCCTCAGTGGACCTTTTTCGATTTTCCTTACATGGTTCAGGTGTGAACATGAATCTCTCATAGACCACTCATAGCCAAATTCTACTTCATACTTGGGACGTTTCATTTAAAATTTATGTTTTTTGCATTTAAAGGTGAAACAAATAGGAAAATCATAGTGACATCCTGCTGTGGTGACTGTGTGTTACATGCACAGAATACATGTTGTAGTGCCTGGCAACTATTACCACTCCCTGTTTAAACAAATCTTCCAGAACACAGAATGTGTTTTCTGGCAGATGCTTGGTGATCTCCTATCTTTCCTTCTGACTTTATGGTCAAGCAGCTGTGATTCTTCAGTTTTTAGATTAGTCCAAATCCTGCTAGCCATTAGTCCTTATTCGTTGGGACCACACTCTTAGTCTCACAAGAGAGACTTCTTCTCTGTTAGGTTTTCCTTTTGCCAAGAAGTCAAACTTAAAGACAAGATTCCCAAGCTCACACTGTCACAGAGGCAGGGATTTCCTGTTGTCATAATCATGGAGTTCTTTTGGCGCACTACAGTCCATTTTAGTACTTTAAACTCTAAAGTGAATGAATGAATGAATGAATGAATGAATGAATGAATGAATGAATGAATTTTGGAGAGGTTGGATATCCCATGTACTTCAGTCTTTCCATGAAGTATGCACAATGGCTTGTTACATATTGGGGAAAAGTGTGTTGGCTTAACTACACAGAGAAAGGCATGTGGTCAAATGGTTATTTTCTTATGTCTCTGGGTTTTAGGGGATAATGTTTGGAAGGGAAGCTAATTGCAGAGTTTACGAAACAGGCTTGGAATGTGTGCTGATCAGCCCTGAGTGAGCTCTATAACATCCTCCTTTCCTGGGTCCAGAGGGTGCCAGCTGGCTAGCCCAGGAGGAGAGTCTGGACTGGACGTCCAGCTCTGGGGGCAGTGAGGAGGAGCCAGCAAGCAGCACCCAAAGCTGAGCATGTGTGCTACAGGGGGGAACGGAAAGACTTGAGCAATACTTGTCATTATCACTTAGAAAAATAGATTAGTATGATCCATTCTTCCAGTCAAGATATGGGTTATACGTATAGAAATACCCACAGTATTTCTATATACAGAAATTTCTTTATACAGAAAAATGAAAGGTCATCCCAAAAGACATTTGGGATCTGGCATGAGTTTGGGACTCTGCCTTTGCAATTAATTCCTGTGTATGGCTTTAATTTTGTCTTCTGTAAGGCTAGTGAGAAGGCCTTTATTGAAGAAATTTGGGCAAAATGAATGGACTTGTTGCTTCAATATCTGAGTTGCCTAATGGAAGTAATGGTATGGCGTTTCTCTGATGGCTTAAGGTACGTAGCATTCCCA